CGGGCACAGAGGCATGCTATTCTAGAAGAGGAAATCACGATCAGAGATCGGAGGGCACCACAAACACCCGCAAAGTTGGCCGATCGGCTGGGTCCTAGCCCAGCGGCCACAAATGTTTCTAAACCAAACCGGTTTACACCACTTGTCCTTTCCATCGCCACCATCTTCCAGAATGAAAAGGATACGATCCCCCCTCCCACGGACACGGAAGCCTACATGGGACGGGATGACGCATATTACCAATATCACAAGAGGAGGGGGCATTCTACCAAGGCCTGTCGGGCGCTCCAAATTGCCATAGAGGAGCTGATCCAGCAAGGTCACCTGGGTAAGTATGTCAACAAATACTCGAATGCAGTAGGCCCCGTCCAGGACCAAAACAAAAGGTCAAACAGCTGGAAGAGGGATGATCGGCGCGACACCTGACCACAGAATGACACACACATACCGTCCAGGGAGGAGGCCGAAGGTGCAGGAAACCCGGGGAGAAAGCCCAGGATGGAGATCAATGTCATCTTCGGCGGGGGAGAAACTGGGGAGACGGATGCTGAATGGAAGAATTTCGAACGGAGCCTACTTGTGGCTTCCATCTCCGACTCGCCTCAGAAGAGGGTAAGGATCGAACCAATCACGTTCGGTCCTGCGGATCTATCAGCATCACCCAGTCCGCACAGGGATGAGTTGGTGGTGAGCATGTGTATTGATAACGCCCTCATCCACCAAGTGCTGGTGGATACGGGTAGCAGTGTAAACGTCCTGTACTTACGGACGTTCCACAGGATGAAACTGGAGAGGGACCGGCTCACGCCCCTGAAAACACTGTTGGCAAGATTCACAAGAAACTGCATCGATACACAAGGGACTATCTCCCTTCTGGTCGAAATTGGAGACGAGGTACACCGGGTGGCGGTCCATATGACGTTCATAGTGGTGGACATTCAATGCACCCACAATGCCATATTGGGTCGACCCGGATTAGAAGACTTGGAAGAAATTGCTTTGGTTCGGCACTCCTGCATAAAGTTCCCAACTGACACTGGAGTTGGAGTAGCTCGAACAGACCCGGTCACTGCCCGAAGCTGTTACTGGGAGGCCATGAAGAAAATAAATGACCGGGACTTGCGGGTAAATAGCATTGTCGAAGAGACCCGCTAGACGGAATTTATTGCACGCCATGAGCCAACCACCCTGCTGGATTACGTTGAGCTGGATTCACCTTCCGATCGGCAGGTTGCAATATGAGTGGACCTGGAGCCGGAAATTAGAGAAGGGGTGATCGCAGTGCTCATAGAATTCCAAGTCCTGTTCGCCAGGGGACCAGAGGATATGTCGGGCATAGACCCGAAAATTATTTGTCATCAGTTAGCCATTCGGCCAGACGTCAAACCGGTCCAACAGAAGAAGCGCTACTAGGCGGCCGAACAGCGAGAATTTACTAAACAGGAGGTGGCCGTATTACTCCAGATCAAGCGCATCAGGCCGGTAATCCACGTGGAGTGGTTATCGAACGTGGTCCTAAGCCCAAAGGGGACAACTTGGAGGATGCACGTTGACTATTCCGATCTGAACAAGGCATGCCCCATGGATCCTTATCATGTGCCTCGGATCGATCTGCTGGTGGATGAAACCGCCGGGTGCGAACTGTTGAGCTTCATGGATGCCTTTCGGGGGTATCACTGGATCTTTATGCACCCGACTGATGCAGAGAAAACAACATTCGTCACCTCGGACGGGGTGTTTTGCTACATTGTGATGCCGTTCGGATTGGAGAATGTTATGGCCACATTCCAAAGGATGATCGGGATGTTTTTCAAGGAAGTGTTGGGAATCACCATGGAGGCTTATATGGATGACATCCTAATCAAGAGCAGGAAGAAAGAGGTTCATGTTCGGGATATGGAAAAAGTCTTCGGAATCATGAAAAAGCGAACATGAGACTGAATCACAAGAAGTGTGCCTTTGTAGTCAAGGGGGGCAAATTCTTGGGATACATGATGAGAGAACGGGGGATTGAACCTAATCCTGAAAAAATCAAGGCAATCATGGACATGGAAGCACCCAGGAACTTGAAAGAGGTTCAGAGGTTGACTAGTTGGCTAGCCGCATTAAGCAGGTTCCTGTCCAAACTAGCCGATCGAGCAATCCCATTTTTTCAGATCATGAAGAAGGCCAGCCCGTTCGAGTGGACAACAAAGTGTCAAATGGCCTTTGAAGATTTCAAAATCTACCTATCTTCCCCTGGTCCTAACCAAAGTTGGTCCAGGGGAGCATTTGTATATGTATCTCGCAGTTGCCGATCTAGCTGTCAGTTCGGTACTGTTGAAAGAGATTGATGGGGTTCAACGGCCGATCTATTTTGTCAACAACGCCCTAAACGACCCTGAAACACGGTACACCTTGATGGAGAAAATCATTTTGGCATTCATAGCCACTATCAAATGTCTGGCTCCGTACTTTCAGACCCACCCGGTAACTGTTTTTTCTACTCAACCGCTCGCCACCATCCTGAGGAACCTAATGGCCAGTGAACGCATTACAAAGTGGTCGCTCCTGATTGGGCAGTATGAGGTAGAATTCAGGCCGCGACCTACCATTAAAGGTCAGGCCTTGGCAAACTTTATTGCAGAATGCATTGCCCGGACAACGGAGGATAGCTCGAGCGGGGCTTCCACAGACAACTGGTGGGAAATGTACGTTAATGGGGCGTCTAGTGCTAAAGGTTGTGGGGGCGAGACAGTCGTCACATCCCCGGAAGGATTCAAGGCATACTACTCAATTCACTTTGACTTTAAGGTAACTAGTAATGAGACCGAATATGAGACCCTTATTGCAGGTTTAAAGTATGTCAGAGCTCTGGGTGCCGATCGGCTAAAAGTTCGCTCGGATAGTCAGCTCGTTGTTGGCCAGGTGAATGGGACGTCCGAAGCAAAAGGGGAAAGAATGAAAGCCTATAAGGAACTGGTCGAGGAACAAATCGTAGAATTTGAACAAGTGGTCCTCGATCAGGTTTCCCGAATAGAGAATGTTGAGGCATATGTTCTATCAAAGCTCGATGTCAATACTGTCGAGCCCGATGTCAATACTGTCGAGCCCAAGGTTGAAACCTCACCTTCGATGAGCGACCGACGACAAGAGGCAATCTACTGCGGAGGAGTGCTCTCTCAGGTGTAGACCTTATTTCGGCGGCAGAGAATACGCTTGAAGAGTGTGCGCGAGTTTAAATGGCTGTGGATGTAAACCCTATCTAAGGAGTGACTTGTGAATTTCGATATGGGCTTGGCTTTTAAACTTTTTGTTTTGTTATATTGGGCCTTCTTGAATAGTAAGGCACCATTTAGTTAAGGAAGGTTAGATTATTATGAGAATGTCGGATTGCTAGGTATGTTAGATTGATAGGAATGTATTCAATTTATTCTTATTTGTGTTTGGTTAAGATTAAGAGACGTGACATTAATTTATTTAGTTGAAAGATATTTTATATTATAGATATGATGAATTACTTTAATGTCGTTTTAATATTTTCTCTTAACACAATGAATTTATTACAACTACATCTAAAATAATTAAAAATTAAACAAAAAAATGAAATATCATAATAATAAATAAAATCAAATCTAAATGAATTGTTTTTAAGTAGGTTTAATTGTAAAAGGTTGTAGATCCAATACAGAGATGAAAAAACCATGTGCAAATAGCAATCTAAATATATGTTCTATCATTTCAGAAAATTAAATTTGTAAAATGTTCAAGTTATTCGTAAAACTTGTTTTCAAATTAAAGAAAAAATTTTCAATTTTTCCATTAAATTTTGAAATCCACTCATCAAAAACTTAAATAATCTATAAGTCTTATAACATAAACACCTTTAAAAATTTAAATGCTAAGAAAAAAAGAATTATGAAAGTTACAAGAATAGACATTCGAATATAATTAAATAAACATACTCCATTCGTCTCACTTAAAAGGTTGTCACACAATCTACGATATTTGACTGACTATAAAATTAAGAAATAATGACAAATATATAACCGAAACGAAGGTAATGGACAAAAGTATGACTTATTGACTATAATAGTAACTTTGATGACCATGATAGTGTTCAACTTTACGTCATAGTGACTATGCATATTAATCGTAGTAATATTTTTGTCCATAACTTATATTTCCGTACTATTTAAAGAAAAACTTCTAAAATTAACTAATCTTTGTCAATAATAAGATTTTTTTAGTAAATAAAATTTATATATTTAGAAACTATATTAAAAGTTTTATAAAATCACAAAAAATCAAATTTGATAAAAGTTGAATACATGGAGAAATTAAATGAAATGAGAGAATTAATTGAGGGTATTTTCGGAAGAAAATTAGATCATCCCCGTGAATATCAGATAACCTAAGGCATGAAAGAGTATAACATTCCCCTTCATATTACATTCCCGGGAATGTAATTTTCCGGATTTTTTTTCAAAGTCGTCAACCAAACATGAGTATCTTATATTCTAGGCATCACATTCTGACCTTCATGTGAGATTACCCCAAACCAAACCCTAAGAGATTACTCTTCTGGTTGTAGTTCAATTTCATTTTTATTTTCATTAAATTGTTTTTCCTTGTAATTCGCCATCAAGTCAGAAAATAGGCTCCACATTTTATTTCATCACATGCTTTATCTTTGGCAGTATTCATACTTTTTTTAGAAATCCTTCATTCCTATATTTCTTAAAAAATGCATTACACTTTTCAATTTGATTCATTGTAGCAATAATGCAAATACATTTTTTTTGAAAGAGAACTAAATGCCAAACAATTTATAGCAATGAACAGTAAAAAGTTCCCACTACTCTCTATAACGAGAGCGTGTGACTTGAACCTCCACTTTAATGCACCATATTTTCGTATTACTAGTCTGCCCTCTGGCAATATTAATGTCACAAAAAAATCGTCTGCGACCGTTTCTCCTCTATTCTCTGCTTTCTTCTTCTGCGACCTGTCCGTTTTGACCTTCAGCAAGATTCGGAGCCCATCCTCCATCGTCCACCTTCCTTTTCTGTAAGCCCTGCCTCATTTTCCTTCCCCTCAAATCTCACTCTTCTATTCTTTCAATGTTATTTTGAACTCTTTTCTCTTCCAATTTGTTTACCGTTTTGTTCACATGTTTTATTATTTTGGCCGCTGATTCTGTGGTTCTAGGTTGAGTACTTTTTCAGTAATTCCCCCCCACTGGGTAGACCAAGAACACAACTGATACTGGGTGGGAGTTTTGAAAAATGGCAGCTGTTTTGGCTCATTATTCAGTTTATTAAGATTTCCTATCAAGAAAGCTTTGAATTTAGTGGTTTACTAGTTTTGTGCTATGATTCTTAGTACACTTCCAATTTGTAACTGTTTTAGTGTTACTGATCTCCTAATCCTCTACGCTTGAAGCCTTGAGCTATTTACGGGAGCACTATCTGCTATATTTATACAGTGCTTTTTAGGCTTTCCTCAATAATCCCCTATTGATAACATTGATAAAAACATGGGATGATACAAAGTGGTTAAAGCAAGCAAAAGCTTGAGAGAAAGTTAGTATGCTTATATAGATGTAATGTATAGTAAAATTAGTTTTTACCCGTTGCCTATCATGAGTGCTAAATGGTACCAGCCAGACCTATGAGCACAGTGAAGTGATTGCTTTAGGGGTGAACAAAAAAACCGAAAAACCGAAACAGACCGACAAACCGACCGAAAATGAACCGACCAAAACCGAAACCGACTCAAACCGACTAATCATTGACGGTTCGGTTTACGGTTTCACCTTTTGGTTTAAAAAACCGACCGAACCGAAACCGACCGACAAAACCGACAAAAAACATGCTAAACCCGACCGAAACCGACCAAACCGACCGAAAATAACCGAACCGAAACCGAACCAAAACCGACTCAAGTACTGCGGTTCGGTTTTCGGTTTCACCTTTTCAAAAACAGAAACCGACCAAACCGAACCGACCAAACCGTATTATATATGTATAAATATGTATATTTTTCATATTTATCGGTTATACTTTTGATCTGTTAATTGGATGCATTTGCTTTCAAAGAATAGTAAAAAATGTTATTTATTCTTTTGTGTATAGAATATATATATATATATATATATATATATATATATATATATATATATATATATATATTGTGTAGTCTGTATAGGGTGTAGCTTTCTTGTTTTTTACTGCGGTACTGCCTGGTGTGGATTATATTAAATAGTTTAATTACATTTCGCAGCCAAAATGTAACTATGTTTTTTTAAATCAAAATTTAGCTATGTTATTAGCTTGTTCTTCAAATGTAACTGCTGTCTTTTATTTGGGGGGGAAGGTCTGAATGCAAGTAGCTTAATTTTTAGTGTGCATTCCCACGTGGCATGTATTTATTGGATGAAAAACAGTTGGGTAACTTTTCATCACCTGAGGATGGTGTGCCATTGCTATCAGATTCAGACCAAGATGATGAGGAGTCTGATGATTGATGATGATTATGCCATAATCATCAAACAAAAACAAGCTAACAAGCCTAAATCCTAACATATTTTGCAAGACAGAAACTTTTTTTTTGAATATTATGTTTTTTGGAAGTACTTTGAACTATTTTATCATGTTTTGGTGGTTGGGTAAACTTGGGTTGATGAATTGCAGTATCTATTATTCGTTTTGAAGGTTTTTTTTTGTCACGTGGCGACGCCATATTTGCGCCATCGCCATGGAAAATGGCCTGTGCGCCATGGGTTGCGCCATGCGCCATGCGCCATGACAACTATGAGTATGTATACAAAAATGTACACAACAAATGTAGCTTTAAATTTATTCTTTCTTCATTGGCGTTTTAAGATTTATGTAGTATCTGTGCAATAATAATATACCTGTGTGGGTGCATCTGGATTCTGGAATTAAATCAATATGGTGATCAGTACTGTTCATGTCTTACTGGGTGATTACTCAAAATGCATTTTGCAGGCTATACTATCCATATAGAATCTGCAGGTAGAAGTAGGCTGTGATGGCGGAAAACCAAGAAAACAGTGCATTGTTCCCGATATTCATATTGGCAGTAATTGGTCTGCCTTTAGTTCCTTATACTGTGCTCAAAATTTCCCGTGCTGCTTCAAAGGGTAAAAGGAGCATCCACTGTGAGTGTTCTGTGTGCACACGATCTGGAAAGCATCTCAAATCAAATTCTCAGAAGGTCACTTACCTTTTGCAAAAGATATTATGTATAAGTCTATTCTAACTAGTGTGTGTAGCATGTATGTATATATGTATGTATATGCATTAACATGAATTTCTATTAATAATGCCTTTTGCAGATCTCGAGCTTGTTAAGCTGCAGTAACTTGACTCTTCTTTTGCTTTGGTTGATTGTTGGCCTACTTGCTTATTCCATTAAACAAACCAAACGTGAGGTAAAATTTGACCTGGTTTCTTATGGTTCTTTACTTTTCAGATTGCTTTCTATGACTTAGTTTACAGCATGGACTTGGGTTTAGTTTGGATTTGGAGGGAAAGTTTTAGAGGGCTTACTGTATATCTCAGATTCTTTATATGCATGTGCGAGCGTGTGTATAACATTATAAGACTAAAGACTTCTTAAAAAATGAAGAAGTTATGATAATAAATGATTATATATTTATGTATCATCGCAATCACATTTTATTCATTTTCATTAACATTTTATCATCAAGATAACAACTAGCCTCTCCAAAGTCTTTCTCTCATAACTTCATAAGTCATAACACTTTTATCCAAAAGAATCATTCAACTAAACAAATGAAGGCTCTATACATGTCTGTATATATATTTTATATATACGAAATAATGATTAATATATGACACATAAAATTAGTAGTCACAAACGTGACTTTTAATGTGCAGTAAGTCCCAGTAACTAAACTCGTAACTATAGTGACCATAATAATCTCAGGTGTATACATGCAGTGACCATGATATATTTTCTAATGGTCTGGTTCCGGTGGGAACAGTTCTTAGTGTGAGAAATGAGAATGACTAGAAATGATGCACATTCGTGTTCATGGTGGTGTACAATTTATGATTAAAATCATGCAATGTTCAAATTGGCAGAAAAAATTTAATTTATTTACAACATTGCCACCACATTTTCTGAGTTATGACAATGGACTTTTATGTTTTATATAATGCACAACTCTCAAATCTAACGCACCTGTATATACCACATTCTCTATTGATCCAAATTGTATGTATGTATGTATATGTGTGTGTGTGCGCTGCTGTGCGCCCATATATAATTTGGGGCTCCATAAAAAAAGTTTATCCAAGAGAAGTAGTTCAAAGTTAAACATATAGGGTGCTACTATATTATAATTTGGGATTCTATCGAGAAAGATTATCCAAGAGAATTAGTTCAAAGCTATATATATACATACATACATACATACATACATATATATATATATATATATATACAGAGAGAGAGAGAGAAATGATATGGTCAGTCCAGACTGATGGGAACCGCCGTCCGGTCAAGCCTGTTTGAGGGCCTTCCGGGTCGAGTTTTGATGAAATTTTGTGAGCATGTTCTTCATGAAGTGTAGAACATTCACACAAGATTTCATCTTAAAATTCAATCGAGAAGTCAGTTAAATAAATTATTGAAAACCGAGGCGCGTTATGTATTATATAAAGAGCTGTGTTTTCAAAAAATTATTTTACTGATTTTTAACTGACCTCCCGATTGAATTTTAAGCTGAAATTTTGTGTGAAGGTTCTAAAGTTCATGAAGAACATGCTCACAAAATTTCATCAAAAAAATCAACCCAGAAGGCCCTCGAACGGGCTTGGCAGGACGGCGCTTCTGGTCAGGCGTGCCTGACCAGATCTTTACTCTCTCTCTCTATGTAGGGTGCAGCATATGTGTGTGTGTATAGATAAGTATTTTATTAAAAAAATAATATTTGATACATTCTATTTATCAAGATATAAACTAAGCTCTCCAAAGGCTTCCCTCCCAACTTCTCCATCCAAATGGACCCTTAGATTTGGGTTCTATTAAGCACATTACTGAGTGTATTACCAATGATATTCCATCACAGATTCAAGTGTTTGAACCATTTAGTATTCTTGGACTGGAGCCTGGAGCTTCAGATTCAGCGATAAAGAAGGCATATAGGAGGCTTTCAATTCAGTACCATCCAGATAAAAATCCTGACCCTGGTTGGTGGACCTTCTACTATGTGCACACCACTTTAACAACATATGAAATTATTAATCCTTCAGAGTTACTTAGTCAAATTGCATCATTTTTTTGATAGCTTATTTTTTAGCAGTGTTTTATAGAGTTTTTAGTCAGGTCACCACTTGTTATACAACTTTTGATAGATTTTTTTAAAATGTATCATGTATGCTTTATTTACTTGAATAAAATCGAGTATTACACAAATTAAATTGAAATTGTATTCAGTTTTTCTTTGTCGCACTAGCCACTAGTAGAACATGCAAAATTGAACAAAGGGAGTATATAATAAGTGATGTGGTGCTCAAAAGTAGCTGTTCACCTTCTTTAATTTTTTAGATGCAAATAGGTATTTCGTGGAACATGTATCCAAAGCATACCAGGCTCTGACAGATCCCATTTCTCGTGAGAATTATGAAAAATATGGCCATCCTGATGGTAGACAGGTTATTATCCCCCTTTTTTATTTTTTCTATAAACTATACACTTGGCTTTCAAGGAGGTAATCATGTCACACTGACATCGTGATTTCCTGGTATAGGGGTTTCAAATTGGAATAGCTCTTCCTGAGTTCATGCTTGCTGGTGCATCAGGTGGAGTACTGTTAATATGGATTCTTGGAGGATTTGTTCTGTTGCCACTGATTGTTGGTGTCATATATTTGTCAAGATCGTCACAGTATTCTGGAAATGTCAGACGAGAAACTTTGTCCTCCTATTATAAATTTATGAAACCATCTTTGGCTCCAAGGTTTAGCATGTTCTTCCTATATGTTCCTCTAAATATCTAAATATTACTATACGCATTATTGTTTTGCTGTGTTAGAATACCGTATGCAAGGATCACCATTATTATTATTTGTTCCTTGTTGTTCTTATCTATCCTTTTGCAATCAATGAACACTTTAATTTTGCAACGGTACACTCTATGTATATCAACAGTCATACTTAATAGTTTTATGTTTCTTAAACTAAATGAAGCATATTAAATTCGTTCAGAGCGTTTTTGAAAAATCATATAAAATTTTATGAAAATCAACTTCGTTTTTTGAAAGTGGGCTTATTATTGTCACTATTACTAGTATTATTAATATGAATAATTTGATGGAAAGTGTAAGAGTGTTTGCTGGAGGATATATGTTGTGAGTATAATGTTTCATGAATGCCCATAAAATCTTTCAGCAAAACATTGGAACTATTCATAAAAGCTGCTGAATATATGGAGATTCCAGTTCGAAGACTTGATGAAGAACCTCTTCGGAAGCTCTTTTTAATTTTAAAGGGAGAGTTGAACTTGGATGGCAAGAATGCAAAACAGGAACATGCAAAATATTGGAAGCAACACCCTTCTCTAATTAAGGTAATGTACTAATGTTGAGTATAAAGAGTTAATACCCGATTTAGTTTTCAACAATAAACTATTACTCAATCTGGCCCAAAACATTTTTGGGACTATTCTTTCATCAATTATACACTTTAGACGTGACCAAGTCTTTAGGCATATTTTGCTCTAACCATGAAGGGAATTTTCACCTGTAGGAGGGTAAATAAGGTTTAAATTATATAGTTGAGGGCCAAATCTAGTCCTAAACTGGGTTTAAATTTAGTGAATCGATGAAAATGCGCTTCTTAGTTAGAATGAAGCTTGTATGAGAACTAAATTGGATCCAAATTGAGAAAACAGGCCTAGGGCCAAAATTGAGTAATAATGTATAGTTGAGGGACTAAACTTGATATTAACTCAATTTTTAAAATGCACTATACAACTGCTTAAAGATAGATAACCTCTCTTTCGTTTACTCGTTGCAGGCCGAGTTGCTGATTCAAGCACATTTAACTCGCAAAACAGAGACTTTATCCCCGGATTTGCAGAAAGACTACAAACATATGCTACAACTCGCCCCTCGCCTGTTGGAAGAACTATTTGTGGTTAGTCCTAGTACTATGTTATGATTGGTATTGCAATCTAAAGGCCCATTTGGTAAGGGCTATTTTGCTAAAATGTTATCTACTGATTTTTCGGGAAGGAATAAACATTTGGTCACTTCCATTTCTGAATAAGTTAAGATAATATCTACCTGTTCTGCTTATTTCTCTGATCACCAAATCGAAAATTAGCAAAATAAGCCGAATATGGATACCAAATGGAGCCTAAAATTGTCAGATCGCGCCAGTGAGTTGTGATAAATCTTGTGATATAGTTCCAATAAAAGACTGATAAAATTGCAAATTTTAGATATGATAGCTCTGTAATCGTGCTGCTCATTCATATATGTAGCTTGTAACTCTCACTGCATGCTTGTAGATGGCTACTCTGCCACGCACCCCTAAGGGACATGGATGGCTGAGACCTGCAGTAGGATTTGTTGAACTTTCCCAATGTATTGTTCAGGTTACATGTTTTACAGAGCTCTTTATTATTGATGTATTTCTCTCAAAAATTGATGTTTTAGACTACTATTCTGGAAGTGTTGAATTCAAGCATGTATTTGACTTGGTAATAATCTAAAAGAGAGAACCATGGATGGTAATGATGCAGGGAATTCCTCTTAGTGCAAGGAAGGCAACTCGAGGAGGGTCTGGTGGTGGTGAAGGTGTTGCTTCTTTTGTGCAGCTTCCCCATTTCAGTGATACAGTTATTGAAAAGATAGTACAGAAAGTAAGATAGTATTAGTTCCCTTATTTATTGTTCGGTTCTGAAACACTGCTGTTTCTGTGACTAATATCTCATGTGCTAAATTTTAATCACTGGGGGGAATTCAAGTGTCTAACTGTCTAACTTCTTATAATTGTTTTTACTAGAAAAAATATTTTGGTTGTATCAAATGGGTAAGGGAAGGGGAAAAAGCCAAGGAAGTGAAAGTTATTTACATATGTTTGCTTTTACCTAGGACAATATCTCATTTTCATCATTTTCATTTACCCGAGTGCCGCAAAGGCTCCCACATATGGTGGGGTAAGGGGGGGGGGGGGGTCGGATGTACGCAGTCTTACCCCTGTACTAAAGCACTGAGAGACTGTTTCCGGATGACCCATAGTGAAAATCCCGTCCAAAATTGCATGGACTGATTGTTGCTTCATAACAAAGAAGCGCAGACAGTTTAGTGAGCCATTTTGCTTTATTCCATCATAATCTCAAGCCAAAAAATAATGAATCTTTGGCTCCATTGCAAATGATGGAAATAAATTTAATATGGTTATTTGTATCCATATGTTAGCTGACCCCATAATCTTTTGGGAATAATAAGGCTTGGATGTTGTTGTATTTGTATCCATATGTTTGATTCTCTGTGTTTTTTTTTATAATAGAAATAAATAAATTGAATAAATTTGAACATATACCTACAATAAAGTTATTGAGATTGAGTCTATCCCCGATTTTCCCAAATATAATTTCCGTACCATTTTTCTCAGTATTTTCTTTCGCTGGCATGTTCCAAGTTCCAGATGGACCCCAAACATTTTTTGCAGAGGAATGAGAACTGAGTGGCACTATTCAGCTGCAAGTCACTTATCGGTTACTTGCCTAATTTATTTATAAACAAATAAACTTGGTATTAGTGTGTTACTAGCAGCCTTCAGGGCTGTAGTTTTGGAAATAAGAGCTGCGATTATTGTATGTTGTTTTGTCACTTCGTGATTATTTAATTGATGATGTTGAAAAAAACCATCACTCAAATTGGGTATGGTCTGTTTGGGAAATGCTGGGGGGATGAAAAAATAGAGGAAATATGAAGCAAAGTTAATGTGGGTGAGAATAAAAAATTGGGTCCAAACTCAATTAATCAATTTTAGAAATTTGTTCAAACTCATTTTATTGTCATAGATCTACGAGTATCATATCTACGAGTGTTATATAAAGACTAAAGAAATATAAATATATTTAGTGTTTAAAAAGTTTTAAGCCAAATCAGATTATTCTTCATATTGTTGAAGGTAAAACCAAGCATAAAATTAGTTTTGCTCAGCACTTGTTTTTCTTCCTTCGCTTACCATATTCTGAGTTCCAAACATAACTGTAGGATATATTTGGATCTCGGGAAATGCTAGAGTTAGAAAACAAGTCTAAAAAGACATTTTCTTTTGTTTTGTTTTAATACACAAAAAGCGAAGGAAAATGAAATATGATACTATCGTATAATGTTTTAAAAACTTCTAGATGTGTTTCGATAATAGATAAATAAAGTGTTTGGACAAATATCAAAATTAAATTTTTAGAGTTTGAGCGAGTACTATATAATTCCTCACTTTTTCTCTCCTTCCAAATCTGCCTCATAGAGTCAAGAGAAAATGATACTCCGTATTATATTTCATTTATCCATCTAATCCAATAATTTATCCTGGTGGTAGGCACGAACATTCCAGGAATTCCAAGACCTCACTTCTGAAGAACGGGCCAGGCTGCTCATGAATGTGGCTGGTTTATCCTCTTCTGAAGCACAAGACGTTGAGAAGGTTCTGGAACTGATGCCACATATCACACTTGAAGTCAGTTGTGAGACAGAAGGGGAGGAGGGGATACAAGAGGGAGACATCGTCACAGTACAGGCATGGGTGACGCTAGAGCGCAACAATGGATTGACTGCTGCCCTCCCACACTGCCCGTTCTATCCGTTCCTCAAGGATGAGAATTTCTGGTTTTTACTTGCAGATGCAAATTCGAATGACGTTTGGTTCTCTGAAAAGGTCAACTTCATGGATGAAATCGGGGCAGTGACTGCTGCTGTGAAAGTAATTGAGGATAAAATGGAAGCTTTAGGGGAAGAAGGAAAGAAAACAAGTGTTGCAGTTAAAGAAGTTGCTGAAAGAGTGAGGGGTGGGTCCCGACTGGTGATGGGAAAGATCAGAGCTCCCGCTGAAGGGAATTACAACCTGACTGGTTATTTGTTGTGTGATTCATGGATGGGATGTGACGAGGCGGTAAGCTTGAAGGTTAAAGTGTTGAAAAGGAACAGAGCTGGAACCCGTGGTGGTGGTGAACAGAATATTCCCAATGACACCGGGGATGAAGAAGATGAAGATGATGGTGATAATGATGATGAGGTCGAGAGCGAGTACAGTGAAGATGAGGAGGTCAGGGAAGTTACTATTACAGGTAAAAGGGGCAAAGCCATTGGGAAAAAGAACCGTTAGGGAATCTTTTTTTAGCTGACATGTCTTTACTTTAGATGATGACTTTATATTACTGGTTTTCCTTGGTCATTGATAGAAACATGTTGAGTACTAGGTAAGACATTAAAGTGAACTCAAATTTCTGTCTTACTTGCATTGAAGTATTCAACATTTCATACCCTTATCCGGATTTTTTGTATACCAATTTTGGATTTTAAGATATAGACGCATAATAAACACTTCAATACAATTGTCATTGCCTTGGACTGTCAACGTCTGCAGGTATTACTTTAAGCTATTAGAGCCTCTTCCACGAGACATAGCAGTATTTGGCACTGAGCAGTTAATTATGGTACCCATTGTTATTTGTAAATTTTGTTCTTGTATGTAAATTAAATCTAATAGAGATTTTGGTTATACAGCTTCTTGCAATTTTCTCTGAAATCTACTAATGTTTACGCTTAAAACTGAATTATGAAAACCCCTAACATAATAATAATAATAATGATAATAATAATAATAATAATAATAAAAATCACAACAACAACAATAATAATTATTATAATTATAATTATTAGTGACGAACTCATGCTGGCTTTGTCTTCAAATAGTTTTGTAATAATTATTTAAACTCTAAAAGGAAACAAGGGGCAAGGGCACCCTAAAACATAATGTAAAAGAAATGTTGTGACAACGTTTGATATTTTTGTTGAAAAAACTCTGGTCAAAATTTTATGTTTATCACATTAAGTTTATCTACTTGTCTGACAGCATATTTAATAATGTGTGCGTATTTTTATAGCTGTGCCACTCCTCATGTTTCATAAAATTCGTCACACTTATCATTTTATCATTTTGAGATGTCCCAAAAAAATTTTCTTACCTACCATTTTTGGAAAGTTTTATGTGACTAACATTAATTTACTTTTTTCTTATTCAACCACAATCTCACATTTTCACTTTATTCTCAATATCTTAATAAGCGTGTCACCTACACTTATCAATTAACATTAGAAATTAGACATGATCATGTACACATATAATGTGCTCTTACTTGAATGAGTTGACTCACGTACTAGAGATGGACGGCATAGATCATATGATAAGAGAATGAAAAAACATGATATATATATACTTTCTCCGTTCCATAAAAGTTGCAACATTGGAATTTCTGCACTATTCACACATCTTACTTTGACTACGATTTTCTAATAATATATATAATAAAAATATTATGTATAAAATATTAATAAATTTGTATTAATGTAAATTTCCAATATATTAACTTTTTTTAATGTTTACTAATACGTAAATAAATATAATTACAGTCAAAGTTGCGCGTTGGCAAACGTGAAAGTCAAACTGTTGCAATTTTTATGGAACGGAGGATAGTATATATGGAGAGAAAAAAGAATGAAATCTAACCATTCTTTAATTTAATCGTGCGGCACATAAATGATTACTACGAACTAAAAATGGCACATGGAAGTGCACGTGCTAAGCATTAATTTTAAATTATACGTATCATAATAATTGGTTAAGGATATTTATGTAAAAGACTTGGAATTTAGTTTGGACACACAGCTTACACGAGTAAAAATTTTGGGATGCAATTCACCATATTTGGATAGTAATTGATGAAAGAGATATGCCCTAGAACTATTCATATGTGTATATGACTTATAGTTGGATATCTTATGCTTATTAATTAGGTTTATTTTATTTCACCTTATATTCTTAAATATAGTATATTCTTATTACTAGTTCACCAAGTATGTGTCTTGGTTGTGGAATACTAGTCGTTTCGTAAAAATACTATGTCCCTAATCATATCTCTATAAATTAGGATTACATTGACATATTGATTAGAGTGTGGGTTAGCTGATGACTATGTTCCACAAGTCATGGATATGGAAATACCAAGCTAAACACACTAATACTTGTTGGTGAACAAATATTGGACCGACCCGTTTTGGGAACACTGCAAGGAAATGTTATAAATGTCATCAGTGATGTTCCCTTTAGTGAAATCATATTGTCCTCAGACCTGAGATCGCCATGGTTACCAATATAGGGATTAATACATTAGGCATTATCAAACGTTACTCCTAAATGAGTAACTATATATAAAGGTGATGATCAAATGTATTATGAAATATATAGAGGTATGTGGTTGGTTAAGATGAGATTTGTCACTTTCATATACTGAGAGAAGATATCTTTGGGCCTCTTGATAAGTATATTTAATTATAGCATAGCCATGCACAAATGAGGTGTCATTTGTATTAAATATACTTGGAAATCAAGATACAATGATTGAACTATACAAGAATGACACTCGCCTAGTCTTGTGTTCAATCTAGATATCGTTTGACAAAAGGAATATATATGTGACATAATATATTTATAAGTTGTGTCGTCTTGAATTTTATATCCTTTGGATAATAATAATGGCTTACTAGAGACCGCTTTTTATTTGTATAATTAAAAGAGTATTTAATTATACTACCAAAGGAATATAAACCTATAGGGTCGCACACTAAAACGTTTTGGATCAGAATCAGATAGTGTTTGGGTCTGAATGACTTCAAGCCCATATCCGTTTGTTGCTAGGGTTTTCTACCTTATGTTCTCTATAAAAGGAGAAGCCTTAGAGCTTAATAAGCTTGGCCGTTCTCATACATACATGAGACAAAACATAATTGAGAAAATTCTTTGGATGCTAGTACATTGAGCAAGTCTGATCCGATCGTGTGTGCACATCATAGAGGCGTGGTACTTTCTACGCTAGAACGAAAAAAACAAGTGCTAAGATCTAGATTTTCATTGATCCATTAAAAGGCATGGTTTCATACGAACTAATAAAGATTTGTTTCTTGATTCGTTGCAAACAATATTGCTCTATTGGAATTGAAACTCATGGAATAGTATAGATCCTTCTAAAAATTTTTTTTGCTTTGTATCAAGCATGAGATGCATGTTCGTAGCTCCTTTCCTAACAGTGGTATCATAGCCTTGGCTTACTATTCCATGTTTTTCAATTGGTATATTAGTGTTTTTTGAAAGAATCATGCCATACATCAAGTTTTGATCGAACTTATGTATCGTGTTTATTGCGTTTGACAAACTGTCCATATTATTTGAATATGACTTTCATGAGATCTGATTATGGACAAGAACGAATTTCAACATTTATGATCTTGTTTTTAAGCATTGTTATTAGGAAAGTTCATATTATATGCTAGTGTAATTGAAAATTCACAATTACCTTAATTAGCATATACGAATTTCCTATAAGATTTTCAATCATATTAGATTTAATGAGATCAAATCTATTGGATTGTTTGATTTGATTTTATGTCTGATTTATAACATAAATGATCTTGTTTTTAAGCATCATTATTAGGAAAGTTCATATTATATGCTAGTGTAATTGAAAATTCACAATTACCTTAATTAGCATATACAAATTTCCTATAAGATTTTCAATCATATTAGATTTGATGAGATCAAATCTATTGGAATTGTTTGATTTGATTTTATGTCCGATTTATAACATAAATGATCTTGTTTTTAAGCATCATTATTAGGAAAGTTCATATTATATGCTAGTGTAATTGAAAGTCCACGATTACCTTAATTAGCATATACGAATTTCCTATAAGATTTTCAATCATATTAGATTTGATGAGATCAAATCTATTGGGATTTTTTGCTTTAATTTATTGCACGTTTTGTAAGGTGTATGATCTTATCATTAACGTATCATTTTAGAAAAAATTCATACTATATGCTAGTGTAATTGAAATTTCACAATTACTATGATTAGCATATACGAATTTCCTATAAGACTTGTTAATCATATTAGATTTGATGAGATCAAGACTAATGAGAAAGTTTGTGTTAATATGATTAAGGAAAATGATACAATATGATTTTGAGAAAGATATTATTTTGAGAAGTTTCCCACCGTATGCTATTATGATAAAAATTCCACAATTACCATATTTAGCATATATGAATTATCTTGTTAGATTTTTCAAATCATAATAGATCCAAAAGAATTATGTCTAATGAGATTAGACATATTAACTAATAATTCGTAGATTAAACTCTACTTATGGGCTTATACATGTATGTGATACTTCATACTATGAGATGACACTAACCTGCAGGATTATGGTTATAAGTGATATAGTATGACCATATTTTTTTTCTTTGTTTTGTACGACATGCATGTCGTTTAAATTCTTGTACGTTTTTTCAGTATTAGTATTTTGTATTAGGATGCAAAATGTAAATATTGTAAATTTTACATCAAAAGATGGAGGAGTGCACATAAAAGAGAAGCATGTTGAGCATGCTGGAATGTCCAGAGTTGCCAAGGATGGAGTGCTAGAAGCTAGCAATAGCTTGATATATTGTCCATACTATATCACGTGTATTTTACCCATATTTATTGCTTTGTGATTGTCTAAACACCTTATCGCATTGCATAGTTATGTCCCTAGAAAAATGAATCATTTGTGCCTTTCCAACATTGACAACTATTACATATTGTGAAAATTATAGAAGACGTCTGCCAAAGCAGAGTCATCTAAAATTATCATAATAGTAAGAATGTCGGACATTCATCGGTCATAAAATGTTGGTTTGATCTTACAAAGTCATCAAAACGGTTTTGGACTTTGAGGCAAAGTGTTGAGTAGCTCAAACATAAGATATAAAACTCAACAAACCAAGAAATACATAGGATGTAATTAACAATTGTTGCTTACCCAATTAACAAAGTTTTGAGTGAAAAGCCAAAGCTTTCTCAAAGTTTTGCCTAAAAGGGATCTTGGTCCTACTATGTCCCATTGGGACGTTTACTTGTTTGACATAGTAGGAGTCTTTAATAATAAGCACACATATTAATCTATGCACATATTTTCTGTAGAAAATGGCAAATAACAACACATCCATTTTTTCCCTGCGATCCGTCCTTGAGAAGGAAAAAATGAACACAACCAATTTCCTAGACTGGTTTAGGAATTTGAGAATTGTTCTCAAGCATGAGAGGAAAGACTATGTCCTCGAGAATGCAATTCCTGCTGAAGAACCAGCAGCTAATGCCCCTCGTGCTCAAAAGGATGCATATCAGAAGCATCTAAATGATGATTTGGATGTTTCGTGCCTCATGCTTGCTAGCATGAACGTTGACCTGCAAAAACAGTATGAGAACTTAAGTGCTTTCGACATGGTTAAGGAACTAAAAGGTTTGTTTCAAGAACAAGCTCGAGTTGAACGCTGTGAGACTACCAAGTCTTGGT